GATGCAAAATGAGGTATTTGATTTTGGGATTTCCTATTGGCACCATCTATGATTTTTATTTTTTTCGGCTTTTTAGGATAAAGGAGAAAATGAATGTTTGCTGGTAATTGAGAGTAGAAACTTTTCTTAAGCAAAATATATTTAAATTTCAAAGAAATTGCCGTCAGCTATTTCTGGAATCAAAGCGAATACTATTGGACATTGATTTACTTCTGAATTGAATGGCTCTTAGGAAGGGTCTTGAGTGTTTATTATATTTTGGAGTTAATGAACAAATAACAGATTCTTGGGGTCATGAAAGAAGTGTTCAGGTGTTGTTTAAGTTAAGAGATTGTACATATGTTGTTTCTCTTCTTGAAGTAATAAGGGGGAAAAACTAGTGGCCGTTTACAAGTAAGCAGGGTTTATCTCACCATGTGGTAGGCACCTCTTAAAACTCTGCTTCACATCTGTATGACTTCCTGTGTGCGGGCTCTGGGTGCTTTCTAGCAGGCTGGTTTTTCATGAACGCCATTTGAGAGTTCACACTTTTGAGTATTTCTACCCTGGGTCCTGTTGGACCAAATATGGCCTATGAGAGCTTAGGTGAGAGAATTTGCCCCTTGGTTTCTATATATGTAGGTAATGTGTAATTTATTGATTGCCCCTCATTTGCTTCATAATTTTATGATATTGGTCTCAGCATGTTTGGCTGTGCAAGTGAGGGAAGAATTGGAAGCTTCAGAATATGGCAAGTCCCCAGTAATATTTGTGGAGTATTTGAAGGGGTGATGTGGGCAGAAATTGGATTTGAGAATGAACTTCTCACATCATCCAAATACAGTACAGTTGTGGCTTAGGTTTTGTTCTTTTCAAATCTAGGTTTTATGTTGTCAAAATATGTGTAACTTAACAATTAAACTTTCTTTTCTCATGGCAAGATTGAGAACTGTCCCTTTCATTCCCAGGAGAGAGCAGCCGTCTAGGGCAGTGAGTGTGAAAGTCTCTAATAACCGCCATTCAATGCTGATAAAGACCAATTTTTCATTCTCTGTATATATGCCCCTTTGCTTTCATGATGATGAGTAGCTAGTTCTTGTTGCTGCTAAGTATTTCAGACTCATTAAGCCCAGTAAGAAATGGTAAGTACAGAGTGCTTAGGTGTTTTTCATTTCTCAGATAGAGGTAGCAGTTTACACATGTTCCGTTTTAATGATTCCTGTCCCCTCCGTTTCTCTGGTTAGTAACATCCGCTGTTTCAAGATTGATCAGCCTTCGGCAGGAGACGCGTCTGGAGCCCCAGCTGTATGGAGCCATGGCTACACCGAAGCTTCAGGGGTGAAAAACAAGTAAGTGGGTGAAACTTTGGAGTGAGATCTGCCTCCCACCCGCCTCCCTGCTTTAGCTGTGCAGAAGGAAGCCCAGTGCTAGCACACACTTTCCCCGAGTCACATTTGTTTGAACATGTTTCCCCAGAGTGAGGCCACCTCATGACTTACTTTGGAACGTTAAGCTAAGCCCTGCTTGGCATCACATACTCTCTCTTTGTGAGAGATGTTGCTAGGAGACGGTGTAACTGACACATTATGTCTATGTGAGACTCCAGTGTTTAGAGAAGGCGTAAGTATTGAAATGCATCCCTGCTCTTTTGAAAAGCCCCTTTATCTTTCTCTGAAGCCTGTTTACCAAGCAAAACAGGGATAGTACTAAAGGAATAGAAGTCGCCTCGATTATCCATATTCAAGATCCCTTACGTTATTGGCCAGTTGGTGTTTCTGTGGAGCTGTTTTTTATAGTCTAAATTAGCTTGTCAGGAGTTTGATGTCCATCTCCTGTAATGTCAGCTACTTGTCTTGCCACCAGGTCTTGTCCCTCTTAATTTCTTTTTCTTCTCTGTTTTCACCAGCCTTCCCTGTCTTAGATGTAGATGTTCATTTCCTGAGAACTATAATCAAGCTCTTCAGACTTGCTTGCTTTTTATGAAGGGGTGCTAAGAATCAGTACTAGAAAAGGAAAGGGTCCTATGAATTAGAATAGTCATAGTTCAATTAGCTAAGATAGAAGAACATAAAATATTGAGAGCAGGGGAAGAAAAAGAAAGTGGAGGATGATCCCATAATAGCTAACATGATCATTCAAGCCTGAGTGCCCGTTAGACTCAGTCAAGTGAGGAACTTTAAAGAACGTTCTCCAGCCTGAGCCCTGAAATCAGAATGCTTTGAAGTCCCCAGGTGATTCTGATGTGCATCCAGGACTGAGAACCACTGACGAGCTTGAACACTTTCCATGGAAAATAGAAGGTGGAATTGTGCTTGCCAGGCTGACTGCTTTTCCCCGGGACGGAAAGCAGAATCAGCTCACGCTGTGGGTCTGGCACAGTGGTCCTCTCCTCTTCTCCTAAGAGTGTGATCTGACGTTGTACTGTCCAGAGAGGACATAGCCCTCGTTTCAACACCTCTATTCCATTTGCCCCAGAAAAGGGCAGAATAACCATTTGTGCCTGGGCTTTAACGGCTGCACTATTTCTGTGTACTTTGCATTGTTCATCATCGTATGTGGGGGAGACGGGAAGAAACTATATATTCTTTGGAGCACTCAGAGTTCCTTCCTAGAGAGCTTTCTTTTTAGATTAAAAGATCTTGTGTCATACTTACAAACACCAGTACATGAAACTACTTTCTAATTCCAGAATGCTGATACGAAATACAAGATTGGTTTCTAAAACATCCGTGGATATTAAAATGTATTATCTACTCATATATGTTAATGAAGCAATCATCAATTCTATTTTTTTACATAATTCCCCCTTTCACATTCCTTTTTTTAAACTTTTTGTTATATTGAAGCATAAGATAATCAATAAGCATACAACTCTATGAACCACCACCTAGATCGAAAAACAGATCATTACCAGCACCTCAGAAGTCCGAAGCCATCTCTGGTCTTCACTTTATTTCTCTTGCTTTTTCACCCTTTGGTTTTGCCAGCAGAAATTTCGCAAGAGTTTTCTTTTTAAACTGTATGTAAAGTAGAAACATAAACAAGAAGCTTGCTGCTTTGAAGGAAGGAGAACTGCTGTGGTCCCTGCCCCCAAATCTCGATAAACACCTCTTCTCTTCTCCCCACCCCTGACTTTCTCCTGTGGATACCAGCGCTATGTTGCCTCCCTGTCAGGTCATTTCAGATCTTTTGGGAAACCCAAGCAGGGAGCTGCAATTGGATAATTTAGGTTCTTCCTCAGACTAAAAAAACCAACAGAAAGCTCCAGTGGAAATGAAGAATCACTACTGTACTTTCAAAATACATTTTTTTTTCATACCCTCCCACTCTGACTAGCAAGGGGAGCTTAAAGAAGGACGGCAGAATTATAAGATGATTAAATATTATATTATTAAATTTTACTTTGCTACTACTTGTCATGTAACTTTGGATGACTTCGTTTTCTTAATAAATGGAGGCTAGAATTTCAAAGTACTTAGGTAAGAGCCAGACTGCCTGGCTTTGACTCTGGGCTCTGTACTTTTTTGCTGTGTGACCTTGGGCAGCTACTCATCCTGTCTTTGGCTTAATTTCCTCGTCTGTAAAATGGAACTAAAAATACTACTGTCCTCATGGGATTGTTTTAAGGATCCCCTGATTACAGATGCGAAGAACTTAGACTAACATGTACTATATAGTTATCTCTGTTTAAGTGTTAGCTACTATTATTATTAGTGATAATGATTATTTATATTGTTATTTATCCCCAAACTCCTTAAGGTCAGGAATTATGTTTTCAGGTTCATATCTCTGTTACCTAGCCATGATACATGTCAGGTGCTTAGTAACTTTTTTCTTTTCATTAATGTATATACAGTAAGAAGAGACAATTTATTTTCAGCAAAATTCACCTTTCTTAGTGTACAGCTCTGCAAGTTTTGCTGAAAGAGTGTCTCTGTGTGACCACCACCATAATCAAGTTATAGAAAATTCCCCCACGCCCCTCTGTCGTCAGTCCTTTTCCTCACTCCAAGCCTCTGGCAACTCCTGATCTGTTCTTTGTTTCAGTAGTTTTGCCTTTCCTAGAATGTCATATAAATGGAATTATACAGTATATAGCCTTCTCAGTCTAGCTTCTTTCGCTTAGCATAATGCATTTTAGATTCATTTGTGATGTTGCCTATGTGAGTAATTTGTTCCTTTTTGTTGCCGAGTATTATTGCATTGCATGAATATACTGTTTATCCATTTACTTTTTGAAGGACCAATGATTTAGATTGTTCCTAATTTTAAGCAAATACAAACAGAAGTTCTATAAACATATAAACCTGCATATGGGTTTTTGTGTGAACATAGTTTTCATTTCTCTTAGATAAATACCTGCAAGGAGGATTGCTGAGTCATATGATATAAGTGTGTATTTAATTTTGTAAAGAAACTGCCAAACTGTTTCCCAAAGTGGCTGTACCATTTTGTATTCCCAGCAGCAGTGAATGAGAGTTCTGGTTGCTCCCCATCCCCACCAATACTTGTAAGGTCAGTGGTGGTTCTGGCCATTCTAACAGCAGTATTTCATTGTGGTTTCAATTTTTATTTCCCTAATGACTGATGATTGTTGATCATCTGTTCACATGCCTCCCACCCATCCTTCTATCTTCCTTGGTGAGAATGTATTCTTTCACAATTAAGCGTGATGTTAGTTGAAGGTATTTTTGTAGACTTCCTTTATCAAGTTAAGAAAATTCCCTTCTGTTCCTAGTTTGCTAAAAATTTTTATAACACGTGGTCACATTTTGTCATAGGCTTTTTCTGCATTAGTTAAGATGATTGTATTTTTCCTGTCTTAGTCTGTTGATGTAGTGAATTACCTTAGTTTCAAAATGTTGAATCAGCTTTGCATTTTCAGGGTAAATTCCACATGATCATGATACATTATCATTTTTATATGCTGCTGGTTTTGGTTTGCTGGTAATCTGTTGAGCATGTCTATATTCACAGATATTAGCCTGTGGTTTTCTTTTCTTGTGGTGTTTGTCTGGTTTTGGTATCAGGGTAATGATGGCCTCATAAAATGAGATGAGGAGTGTTTCCTCTTCTTCAGTTTTCTAGAAAAGTTTATATAGAATTGATATTATTTTTTCCTTCAATGTTTGTTAGGATTCACCAATAAAGCCGTCTGGGCCTGGAACTTTCTTTGGCTTTCAACTAAACGTAAAATTTCTTTAATTATCTATTCTTGAATGAATTTTGGTTATTTGTGTCTTTCAAGGAATTTATCCATTTTCATCTAGTTTTCAAATTTATTGGCATAAACTTGTATGTAATGTTCCATTCTCCTTCTACTGTCTGTAAGATCTGTAGTGGTATCTCTCCCTTTTCTTATTCCTGATTCAAGTCATTTGTCTTGTCTTTTTACCCTGATCCATTTAGTTTGAGGTTTATCAATTTTATTGATATTGTCAAAGAACCAGGTTTTAGTTTCATTGATTTTCCTGTTTTTTAGTTTTTTCTGTTTATATTTCATTGATTTCTGCTCTTAATATTTCCTTTCAGCTTACTTTGGGTTTGTTCTTGCTCTTACTTTTCTAGGTTCTTAAGTAAAAGCTCAGGTCATTGATTTGTGCTTAAGACATTAATATTCTAAGAATTTAAAGAATTTCTGTAAATTTCCTTCTAAGCAACTTGGTTGGAGAACATAACTTGAATCACTTGAATCTTTTAAACTTACTGAGACACTTTCTGGCCCAGAATATGGTCTATCTTAGTAAATATTCATTGTACATTTGGAAAAAGTGTTGGGTAGGGTGTCAGATCAAGTTGATTGATAATGTTGTTCAAGTCGTAAATACCCTTACTGATTTTCTGTCTACAAAAAAATGTCAATGACTGAGAGACTATAATTATGGGTTTATCTGTGTCTCCTTGTATTTCCATCAGGTTTTGCTTCATGTATTTCAAAGTTCTGTTATTAAGTGCATAAACATTTAGAATGTTACAGCTTTGTGATGAATTTACTTCTTCATCATTATGAAATGACTCTTTGTTTTTGTAATGCTCTTTGTACTGAAATAAACTTTGTTTGGTACTAGTGTAGCTACTCCAGCTTTTTTTTGATGAGTGTTGGCATAGTACAGTTGACCCCTGAACACGAGGGTTAGGAGCACCAAGCCACTGCACAGCCAGAAATCCATGTACAACTTTACAATATCTGACTTTCTTTCTTTCTGAGCAATGTTTTGACTATTTTCATATTCAATAAAATTATTGATATGGTTAGGTTTAAACCTGTCAGTTTACTAGTATTTGTTTTCTGTTTGTCTCATCTGTTCTTGATTCCTTTTTTCTCTTTTTCTTCATTCTTTTAGATTGAGTATTTCTTATTCCATTTTGTCTCCTTTATTTGTTATCCATTCTACCTTGTGTGTGTACATGTGTGGTTTGTTTAGGGTTTAGAGTATAACCTTTAACTTGTCGATTACAGTTGCCTTCAGGGAGTGTTCTACCATGTCACAGATGTTGTAAGAACCTTACCATCTGTACTTCCATTTCCCCTCTTCCTAGTCTTGCTATTGTTGTCATATGTTTTACTTCTACTTTTGTTATAAACCCCAGAATACACTGTTATAATTTTTACTTGAAACAGTTATTTTCTAAAGTAGTGTTTCTCAACTTCAGTACTATTGACATTTTGAGCTAGACAATTCTTTGTTGTTGGGGGACAGGGGAAGGAGGAAGGTTTCTTGTGCATTGTAAGATGTTTAGCAACACCCCTGGCCCCTACCCACTAGACGCTGATATCATCACCACCTGAGTTGTGACAATCAGTGTCTCCTGGGGGTCAGATATCCCCATTGTGCTCTAAAGTGATTTTAAAAATGAGAAAAATAAAATGTTTCTGTTTACTCGCCTATTTGTCATTTCTAAAACACTTCATTCTTTTATATAGATCCAGACTTCCGTCTGGTAGTATCATTTCTCCTCTTTCATGTATTTCCTTTCACATTTCTTATAGTTCCTGTCTTTGGCGGTAAAGTTGTATTTTTGTGTCTGAAAATGTCTTTTTTGCACCTTAACTTTTGAAAGCTGTCTTCACTGGCTTAGAAATCCAGGTTGACAGGTTTTTTCCTATCAGTACTGTGAGAATGTTGCTCTGCTGTCTTCTGCATCATTTCTGATGAGAACTCTGCTGTCATTCGTGCCTTTGTTCCTCTGCAGGATGTGTTGTTCCTATTCCCACCCCCCCTGCCTTTATCCCTGGATTTCAACAGTTTGATTTTGATGTGCCTCAGTTAAGTTTTTTCATTTGCTTTTGCTTACTGTTTGCTGAGCTTCTTGTATCTGTAGGTTTATAGTTTTCATCAGATTTGAAATATTTTCAGCCATTAATTTTTCAAAACTGTTTCTGTCTGCCTCTCTTCTCTTTTGAAGACTCCAGCTCCCTGTGTGTTAGGGTTTTTAAAGTCATCTCACCCCTTACTCCTGCCTTAGCTTTTTATTTTTCCCTCAGTCTTTTATTCATTTTAGACAGTTTATGGGACACAGTGAGTAAGTGGAGAGGCTCTGCGGGCCCCCAGAGTGCCCTGTGCAACTGTCCTGCCACCAGTCTTCTGCCTGTGGCCTCTGCCTGCCTCATCCTGCCTCATCCTGCCTCAACTGAGGGAGACCTCCAGGCTGCACCTGGGTTTCTCCTCCCGGTGCTGCAGCCCAGAACTTTTCCCAGCAGTAAGCTGAGCAGGAATCGGGCCCACTCTCTGACCTGCACTCTTTATTGTCTTCTGTTGCAGTACTGTTGTTTATACTTTGTGCTGCCTTTTTTAAAGTTGTTTGAGACTTTTCATCTGTTTTTATATACTTACATATTTTGCAGTGTTTTAGCTGTTACTTCATTTTTGCTCCATGTGGAATTTCTCCTTAATAAATGTTTTGTGAATGAATGTGGACATATGTGTTCATAATCTGGCATTATTTCCCATGCCTCTTATTGTCTTTCCTGCCATTTAAAAATAAAATCATCAGAGGAGAAGGGTGAGGGAAGCCTTGCAGCATCAATATGTGCTTATCATTTTTCTCCACTTTACAGAAATTAGTTGGTATAAATTAGCTGGGGTTAGTTTACCTGTTCTTAATCTGTCTAGAGTCACAAAGGAAAAGACAAGCCTGGATTAAGCAAATCTGAAAAAAACACAGTTGTGTCGGGCATGGAGAAGGAGAGATGAAGAGGCTTAGCACAGAAGCATTCTTGCTTTGCAGGTTGTGTGTTGCAGCCCTGTCAGTGAATAACTTCTGTGACAACCGGGAGGCCCTGTATGGTGTATTTGATGGAGACCGGAACGTGGAGGTGCCCTACCTTCTCCAGTGTACCATGAGTGACATTTTGGCGGAAGAGCTGCAGAAAACAAAAAACGAAGAAGAGTACATGGTCAATACATTCATTGTTATGCAAAGGTAAGACTCAGAGCACCTCCTGTGTGTTATAGCACCTACTGTGTGTTTTCTTCCTCTTCTTTGAGTTTGCCCTCTAGTTAGAAAAACAGGTGCCCTGTAATCTCAAAGCCTGTTGCTAAATACGGGTTATTCAAGATGCATCCAGGCAATTTGGTTTTGCCCAGTATTAGGGCTGGACTGTGTTCCGTTGCAGACAAAGTGATGTTCAGACAACTTTGCAGGAAACTGAGTCACTGACAGGAATTCAGTTTCTCCTAGAACTGGATCTCACAGGCCTGTCGTGATTCCAGATTTTAACCAGATTGTTTATGACACATTCCTTCCCCTCCACCCCAAAATCACGTGAGCTCCAGACACTCTTTAGACTTTATGGTGTGTGGACTTCTCTTTGAAATGGACTGTTTCCATCTCAGCTTATGGAATACTGCCACTGATTTGAGATAGTGCCAAACTTTATGAACTTGAGATGATCAAATTTTAGGCTGGGAGTTAAATAATTCTTCATATGTTGTTTTTCCCCCTCATTAAATATTCAAGACAGTGTTGCTAGTAGAATCCTGGGCCGTTCCCTAGAGTTTTTGATCACTGTGGAAGTTGTGGAATGTTGTTTGTAACTCTGGGGGCTGAGTGTTATAAGCATTCCCTCATTCAAAGTATTGCTTGCTCTTTTATCACTTTAAAGGCTTTGTAGGCTGTGAAGGAGTTGCCTGTTAATATTGTACTGTAGACACTTGCTCTTGTGGGACCAGGAAGTGGAGAGGCTCTAAAGGTCATGGGAACAATGACAAGCTTTTCTCTTTCTCTCCTTTTTCTCTCCCTTGATAATCTGCCAAAGGAAGTATCTCTCCAAGGAGGGTGGAAAGTGTCTGCTAGAGAAATGCTGGTTCAGAGGAGCCTTTAAAATTCCCCTAAGTCATGAACACTCTTGAAGAGCTCAGTAGAGGCAGGCCCAGTGAGGTTCTTTGCTGCTCGACTCACCTGTCTTTTGGATTCTCAATGGGTGTGTACAGTTAATAATTGATACCAATAATAGCTGGTATTTAGTGAGTCCTTAATATTATTTATCAGTCATTGTTCTAAATACCTTGATGCCATACATTTTACCCAGTGAGATAGTTAATGTTACAGTCCTTGCTGTACTGATGAGAAACCAAGGTATAGAGAGGTGAAGCAGATCACTTTAAGAGCTAGAAGGTGGTGCAGCCAGAACTGGACCTCAGGCAGTAGGACTCCGGACAGTGTCCGCCCTACTATGCACATCTGTCTACACATCTGTGTGCTTTTCTGTTTTGATCACCATCTTGTTTTGGGGAAAAAGGCAAACACATTTTATACATACAGACACATACACCCCCCCGCACACCCTTCACACACCCCTAAGAGGTCTGCTTTTTATAGACCCTCAAGAACCAGATACGAATTAAGAACTTAAGAACCTCAAACTCTGATTGCTAGCTGTACTCCTCACAAATGCCGCCCTATTTCTAGCTTTGCTGAGAGGAATCATTGCGCCTTTGACATGGAGAAAGTAGTGCTTCCTTGGCAGGGCGTAAAGCCGGGTCCGGTCATCGGTGTGCAGAAGTTGGAGTTTAGAGACCCGAATTGTCAGCCCATCTCCAGGTCATTTGTATACCTCTTATTTTCCCTATTTGGTTAATGGGATACGGGATGTGAGAAGATCTTTTCAGTCCTTGAGAGAACTGTATGTTCTCTGAGCACCACATCCTAATGCGATAGGCAGCCCCGATTTCCATCACTAGTGTTGCCCCTTGTGTAACCTAGACAGGTGATGTGAGCTGACCGGACCTGAGGGTTTGCCCTGTTAACAGAGGAGTCTGTCTGTCTGAACCTTCTTGGCTCCTGTACCACTCAGGATGAGTCTGAGAGGCACTGCCCTCTGTGGGGCTTGTGACAGGAGATCTTAGGTCCTTCTGATGGTCACAACTTGCAGATGCATTGTGTATTCAGTAGGTGTGTGGACTACTGGTCAGGAGTAAAAGCACTTGGGAACTTGATGGCTGGAATATCCTTTCTGTGGATATTCTGAAACAGGCATTATTGGTCCAGAAAGCCTTCACTGTGTAGGACAAGAACATGAATGGTCCAATACTTGAACGCTCATACCAGCAAATATCCTTATGAAGGGGAGTGGTCGGTGGGGGTAGCGTATGGCCCCTGTTATGTGGTCCCTGCAGTTGTCCGCTCCCGGGAGCAGAGGAGGCTTAGTGGATGAGGAAAGGAGTGGTCATTCTCACTGTGTCTGGAGGACGCCGGTACGGGAGTAGCAGGGCAGATGCAGCGGGATCAGGGCTCCTTTATTCCACATCCACTCCTGGGCTTTTAGTGGTCAAGTGGCACTCGCCCCAGGCCTGAGCAGACATCTCTCTGTGTGGACGTGTGTGTCGGATTCCTCAGGCCCTTTTCCCGAGTTGAGCAGTGCCTGTTTTGGTGAAAGAGGCCGAGTGGAGCCCCAGGTTCTGTTTTCCCTCCTGTCCCTGCCCCGTAGTGCAGCCTTCCTGTCACATGAGCAAAACTACATGTGACGGCTTGGGTTTGGGTTTCTACCCCTCTCTTCGGATTCCAGGAAGCTTGGAACTGCTGGGCAGAAACTTGGAGGTGCTGCTGTCCTTTGTCACATCAAGCATGACCCTGTGGACCCTGGAGGGCCCTTCATCTTGACCTCTGCTAACGTGGGCAAGTGCCAAACAGTCCTCTGTCGGAATGGGAAGCCGCTGCCTCTGTCCAGATCGTACGTCATGAGCTGTGAAGAAGAACTGAAGAGAATTAAACAGCACAAGGCCATCATCACTGAGGTAAGGAAGAGCGATTTTCCTCTGGATGGGGGAGGACAGGCTCGTGGCAGAACCAGCTGTTGGGGAGCATTTCTCTCCAAAGGGCATTCTTTGAAGTTGGTTTAAAATTAAAATTCCAAATCCACAGTGTCACAAAGCAACGTCCATGTATTCTATATCTGAACGCATTATAATGCTCAGAATAATAAAACATTTGTCAGTGGCCTCTCCGTGCCAGGGGCTGTGCCAAGTACTTCGTGTCGTTACCCTGTCTGACCCTCACAGCCGCTCTGCGCAGGCCTGGTGTGGTGGGCGAGGGCCCCACCCCTGAAGTCACGCCGATGGAATGCCTACCCTAGCTGTGCCGCTTCCGGGCTATGACCTCTAAACCTCTAAGCCTCAGTTTTCCTCATCTGTAACGTAGGAATAGTAAGGTATCTGTCCTGTCTTATAAGGTTAGTGTGCCTATCCGTGTAAATGTAACTAGTTATTGTGGTTCATGCCTCCTGCTCCATTTGAGTAAGGCGGTGAGTGGTTCTCAACCAGGGGCCATTTCCCCCCACAAGACATTAGGTAACATCCGGAGACAGTTTTGTTGTCACAGCTGGGGCAGAGAGAGCTTTTGGCTTGTAGTAGGCAGAGGCCAGAGATGCCACTAAACATCCTACAGTGTGCAAGGCAACCCCACAGCAAAGAATTATTTGGCCCAAAATGTCACGCATGCCACTGGTGAAAAACCCTGGAGTCCATCTGTATTACACAGGATTCGTTACAGCGCAGCTTCCAAAGTGGGCTCGGGGAGCTTCACTGCGTTAACTAGTTCATCCTGCAGTGTGGATCACCTGCAGAGTGCCGGGGCAGCAATGTGAGTACGGAAGTCATCCCCACACACACATCTGCCCATGGAAGGTGTCCAGTCTTGTCTTGTTGGTAAAACCCATGTACCACTTGCAGCTCAGACAGACAGTGGTAACATTTGCAGTTCAGTAGAGAAAAAGGCTGACTCCGGGTAGGCCTTGTAAGGGCCTAAAAGATAGTCTGGGGGAAGGAGTATGTCTTGTCAATTTTAGGTCCCTGTCTGTTCTAAGAGCAGAGAGCATTAAAATGGATGCTAAGCACTATGCAGAGAGCAAAGACAGTCTAAGATAGGACTGAATTAAATTAGTAAATGTATTGAATTCAGTGTTCAACATTACACGATGCTAAGATTAACCATTTCTGCTACATAAATGCATCACAGTTTGTGCTTCAGACCTTTCCTCTGCCTCCTCCTTCCTCACTTTGTCTGCATTGCTGCATTGGTTTTTTAAATTTCTCTGCCTTGAGGTTATGCCCCCAAAACACACACCATACATGAAACCATTGATTCGATGGGGTGAGATCAAAAGGGTAGAGCAGAACAGCGAGGATAATTTTTGCCAAATTCCACACTTTGGGGGAGAACAAATTATATTAGGAGAATTGAGGGAGTGGAAAATCATGTTTGAAGCCCATTTTAATAATTTTCCCTCTAAGCTTGCTGCCTGCGTGTACATGTGGCATGGCAGGGTTGTGTGTGGAGTTGGGGCAGGCATCCCAAATGAAGGAAGAGGGTAACGTTGGAAGGAAATTGATATTCTCTGAAAGAAACACTTGCTTCAAGGGAGATGATGACACCATCTCTATTACCTTATCCCAGACATACGTAAAAGTTGCATTTGTCCTAATGGAGTCCCCTCTGGAAAAGGTGTTAAAATTAGGGGCATGTGGCGGTACATGGTGGACCTGAGCGCCTCCAACTTGAAGAGAAAAGACCCGGGCAGCCCCACGGGCCATCTCCCCTCCTCTCCTCCAGCTTCAGCGTAAAGGCCTTTCTACTGGCCAGGGGTCTGAAACTTTGGTCCATAGCTTCAGTGGTGTGAGCTGGACTGCAGGGAGGCTTCATCTTGTCCATTTGCCACCAGGGAAGCAAGTTCAGGGAAGTGAGAGGAGCGGGCACGGCACCTTTAGCATCAGCCTCTCCGATGTGTCCCTTTGTACTCAGCTAGTCGCACCAAGATTTTCTCCACCATTTTTTTTTAACCTTCTTCAGTTTAAAATAATGTCTCTCTCCTCATTTCTGGACCTTCAGACACTCCTTCCCTGGTGCTTTGGAGAGTGAGCGACGGTTTAGGGGCGTCATCCTGAACCAGCCCTACCTCTGGTGTCTGCCTGGCACTGGCTTGTCCAGCAGGGCTCTTCCTCCCTGGACGGCTGTGGGTCGCAGGAGAAGCCATGTTGCTTGTCCCACTGGATGATGGCTTGCTTTGTAGATAGATGGTCCCAGTAAAGGGAGTAACTGAAATACTTTCCATTTGTCCCTCCGGCTCCTTACCTGCCTGGGTTTCTGGCCCAGTTTCTGATGACAGGTGGACATTAACCACTCACCAGAGGGTGAGCAGTCCCTCCCTCTGTGGACCCCACATACTCTCCCTGGGGTCCCCTGGACAGGAGGCCCCAAGGAAACTGCAAATTACCACATGTGTTCCCCATTAATGGCTGTTTGGAAACTCGTCTTTTTCCAGGATGGCAAAGTGAATGGAGTGACCGAGTCCACGCGCATCCTGGGCTACACCTTCCTCCACCCCAGCGTGGTGCCTCGCCCCCACGTGCAGTCCGTGCCCCTGACCCCGCAGGACGAGTTCTTCATCCTGGGTAGTAAAGGCTTGTGGGACAGCCTGTCCATCGAGGAGGCGGTGGGGGCCGTGCGCAACGTGCCCGACGCCCTGGCTGCCGCCAAGAAGCTGTGCACCCTGGCACAGAGCTACGGCTGCCACGACAGCATCAGCGCCGTGGTGGTGCAGCTCAGCGTCACGGAGGACAGCTTCTGCTGCTGCGAGCTCGGCGCCGGCGGGGCCGTGCCGCCGCCCAGCCCCGGCATCTTCCCTCCGTCCGTCAGCATGGTGATCAAGGACCGGCCATCCGACGGGCTGGGCGTGCCGTCCTCCAGCAGCGGCATGGCCTCGGAGATCAGCAGCGAGCTCTCCACGTCGGAGATGAGCAGCGAGGTGGGGTCCACGGCCTCGGACGAGCCGGCGCCGGGAGCCCTGAGCGAGAGCAGCCCCGCCTACCCCAGCGAGCCGCGCTGCACGCTCCACCCCGTCTGCCTGTCCAACTCCTTCCAGCGCCAGCTGTCCAGCGCCACTTTCTCCAGCGCCTTCTCCGACAACGGCCTCGACAGCGACGACGAAGAGCCGATCGAGGGCGTCTTCAGCAACGGCAGCCGGGTGGAGGTGGAGGTGGACATCCACTGCAGCCGGGCCAAGGAAAAGGAGAGACAGCAGCACCTGCTCCAGGTGCCGGCCGAGGCCAGCGACGAGGGCATCGTCATCAGCGCCAACGAGGACGAGCCGGGTCTGCCCAGAAAGGCGGACTTCGCCACCGTGGGGACCATGGGGCGCCGGAGGCCTAACGGCTCGGTGGCGCCGCAGGAAAGGAGCCACAACGTGATAGAGGTGGCCACGGACGCGCCTCTCCGCAAGCCGGGCGGCTATTTCGCAGCCCCGGCTCAGCCGGACCCTGATGACCAGTTCATCATTCCGCCAGAGCTGGAGGAGGAGGTCAAGGAGATCATGAAACACCACCAGCAGCAGCAGCCGCCGCCGCCGCCGCCGCCGCCGCCCCAGCTACACCTGCAGCAGCCGCAGCGGCAGTGCCCGGCCGAGCAGCTGCCAGACTGCTGTGACACACCGCTCTGACCCACCCGAGCGCAGTTCACAAATAAACTAACCAAGAAAGACTGAGTTGCAAGAGTCTCCCAGGCTCACATTAAACCAGGGGTTTACTCCGCGCCCTTCCCCCAGACGCTTTGCCCACCTGTCTTTGCAGCTAGTCGCTAGGTTCCCCTTCTGTTGGTCACTTTTTAAATAATTACCACTTTCTTCTAGTGATGCTTTCCAATACGATTTAAATTTGTTAACTTCTTCCCCTAACATATCAGATGTGTAAAGACAAAGAACAAAAGGTTTAATATATTACAGAGAAACAGTTAATGATAATGTAATATTTTTTAAAATGGCTTTTTGTTGTTTTGTTTGTTTGGAAGGCAGGGCAGGTTGCCAGTGCTAAATGATTTAATAATATTGTAATTCTGTATTTCTTTGGCAGGGGGGAAGGCCTTTTTTTTTTTTTTTTTGTCTTGAAAATGATAGACATTTGTAGAATATGGAGACTAACTCCTAGGAGTTGCTTTACTCTGTCAAGTGACTTAAGTCACTGGGATTCACTAATTTTCTCTGAGAGAACAGTTGATTGAGAAATTTCTCCTGTATATAGCTCAGTGTTGTATAGTGACGCTTCAAATGTTTTGTAGTTTTGGCATAAGGGACACAGCCTGAACAACTGACCCCCCCGCCCCCTCTGATGTGCCTTCCTGCCCACGCCCACCTCCCCCCCTCACCTTTTTCATGCATTACACGATGAGCCTAAGCAGCTAAGAGCATCGCTGTTCAAACACGGTGGATCTTAGGCCAGTGGAAATGACCCTGCACCCGAGGGGCCTCTGAACTTCTTCCTCTCCTGTTTCCACTCAGCCCTTGACTTTTGCAGACACTTTTTAATTGTGTTCCTTACTGCTGCCACAATCAGCATGATTGTATAGAGTTCAGTTAGATCATTTACATACCAAGAGTTATATTAAAGCAGAATGCACAAATGAACATGTCATAATTTTTGTTATAATAAATATAAAATTTACAAGCATTGCACCCATCTGCTTTTGTCTCAGGAGCCAGATGTGTCTTGCAGACGATCACACTTAGCTTGAGTTTGGAATAAATGCATGTAACTTTGGGGTTATTAGGTATTTCTGACTTTGATTTTTTTTTAAAAGGAAAATACCCAACAGGTTAATTTACATTGAACGAAGGTAGTGAAATCAACCCTATGGTTAACAATATACATAGCTGACCTTACAGCCTTTCTATTTCGTGTTGTTATTATGAAGGATAGATAAAAGGGGACTAGTTAGAGGAGATCCCTGGAAGACTCCTCCCACAAAGCCAGGTTTGTTTCCAGTCCTCTCAGTGCCCCCTCAGTCATGTGAACAGGTTAATAGACCTCTGTTTGAACAGTGAAAATCAGGAGCTGATTGTCTCACTCTACCACTAGCAGAAAGAATGTCAGTGCAGTGGGACCCACTAGGAAATCCCATCTCCTGGCTGACTTACTGGCCCATTACAGACTGCGGGGCCCCTGCATCCTGTGAGCCATGTGTTGAAGATGCTGTTAGTCTTCCATCTCAGGTGGACCAATTTCCCAGGTAGAATGGTCTCCTTCCAGTCTGCCCCCAAGTGGGACCTGGCTGGTTCAGTGACAAGACATGGTAATTAGTCTTTCTTGTAGAATCGGCAATGGGCTGTCCGTCCCTTCACTGGGCCGCCAGATTGGTGGGCCCACCTTGTGTTGGTAATGTCCTCTCTTCATTCCATGTCGGGCTACTCAACACTGTGCTCCTTAAAAGCCACTAAGGCTGCGGAAGAAGACTGAGCTCAGGCAGAGCTCTCTGCTCTAGACCAGAAGCAAAACCATCTCAGGATTCCTGCGCCCAGCCCCACTCACCAGCACCTTGCCCTCCTCAGTCTTCGCTCTGCTCCAGGTGGATCGGAGCAGACTTGGGAGGTTCTGGGTTTGCACACCAGTGCCTTAGTCACTACAGAAGATCTGGGATGGACCTGCGACTTCCTCAGTTCTTGAATCCCCATGGGCAGGGCTCACCTGTTGCCTTGTGTGGGACCTACCCAGACTGTCAGAGTGGGTCTGGTTCACTTCCAGAGGACTCAGCACTTCTGCCCTGAGTGTGGCCAACTAAGGCAGCGATGATGTGAGGCGCTCACCATGGGCCCCACAGCAGCTGCTTGTGCCAGGGCCCACCACAGGGACCAGCAAGACTCATGTGGGGACCTCCCTCCTGTCCTGACTTGTGCGGCTGTTTGGGAGAAGGGGCACGGGCTCGTTGTTTTCTTAAGTCCGCCAGTCCAGCCAGTGCTTGCTCCTCAGTTTATCAGATCGTGAATTCACAATGAGCACATGCCTAATATAATGTACTGTGGAGTCAAAGGATAAAACTTTACCCCTGGGGAGCTTGGGATAAATGGGCATGTGGATGAGAAGTAGCAGGTGAGCACGTATTAAGCAGCTAAAGAGGTGGAAACGTACTAGGAGGCCTCCTTACTCTTGCATAGGGGCCTTCCAGCAGTTTCTTTTCACTTCTGCTCATCAAGATAGCATCTGCTACTGTATGTAGGACAGCTTATAAGACTGTAAAGTGCTTAATATTTGAAGATCCCTGAAGCTGGAATCTCCAGAGTGAGTATGAGGGAGAAGGACATCCTCCATCTAAATTTCCTCCTTCCTGCTGGGAAAGCCAGCCACCTGGGAAGGGGTTGGCGGGGTGGATGGGGAAGAGGTTGGAGCAGAAGCTTCGAAGCTCTGACAAGGCTTGCAGCCTTGCCGATAAACTCAAAGCTCCCTACTGAGGACCCTGGAAGTTGTTTGGTGTTGGATCAGCCACATGCTGCCATGTGTGTGCCCAAATCTGGCTTTCCAGAGGGCACCACGGCCAGTCTCCTGAGCCCAGACACCCAACCTGACTGACCTGGTTTCTCTTGATTGCTTTTGTCACAGCACCACCTGCTGGTGAGATTAGATTTTGGGCGGAAATGGGCAGAATTTGTTCTTTATCTTTCTTCCACTCTTCCAGAAGAAACAAGATTTCAGTTACTTATTATTTTCCTAGACACATGACAGGGAGCAATCTCAAGCACTATGAAGTAGGGAGAGAATCTGCATTAAACTGTATTATTATTGCACTCGTGGAAGTCTGCTTTGTAAGATGGTACAACTGATGACTTATTCCTGAGATGGGCACTGTTCTTCCATGGGAGACTGACATGCAGACATGTCAAGGTGTAACCAGAATGATAGCATCGACCTGGGAGAGAGGAAGTCAATCTCCATAGCCATCTAATTCTCCATTCCCCATGATGAAAAATAAATACATAAAAATCTATAATATGCTTTGTATCTACAGGACAACATCTGAGTCAGCTCATTGCTGGCACCGCCCAGTGGAGAGAAAAAGAACAATCCCCCACTTAATCCTGTCAACGCCTGTGTGAACACTCATCAGAAGGCATTCTGAATTCACCTCAACACATCAGGTGATAGAATTTCTGTAAAGTGTGGGTGTTGGGGTATCTGCCCTCCCTACCTCCCCAGGTAATGTAACCGAAGTAATTTGTAGATAGTAAAACCTTATGTAAGTGGAAGTATTGTCATTATTGTAAATGAAGAACTAAGGATGGTCGGATGGAAAATACTTGGGAACACAGAGAAAGTACCTTTTTAAATTAAAAACTAGAGAAACATCTGTTGGAACTGTTAACAGGAGAGATGAGGTAATGGCAGAGAAAATAGGCTTGTCTCACTTCTGGCCATTGAATTTCATTTTCTTTCCATTCACCCCCCCAAAATGCATTTTGTGCAAAGGAATTGGTGCAAACTCTGTTTCACTGTTTTGTTCGCCTGTTGTTAACTGGGCCTTATTGCTGTGTATTTGAAAGATAGCTCTAAGGGTTGTCCCCCCACCCCGACCCTTAGCAGAATTGCAACCAGGTTCTGACTTAGTTGGCAAACTCACTGCCCTGATTGGAAGTAGGAGCTACATCTAGTTAGCAGACAAAGCTTTGGGCTAATGATAGGAAGCAAGCTCTGTGACCACCTCACACCCACCCGAGTCACCACGTCCATTCACTCTACACATTCGGGAGACAGCAGTGCAAAGCCGTCACTGTGTCCGGTTTTGGGTCATCTGCACGGGACTGCAAATGCAGTGGGTCTTGGTGCAATGGTGGCTGCATTGACCTCATGAGGTCATGGTCTAAGCCAGTTAAGGGCAGACTATAGTCTCTCTGTGTTGTTCCCTCCCTTCTAGAAGTCTAACGTTGAATCCTTGACAGGAGGAAAGGGGCCAAGGGGTCCCCAAGGCTGCCTTGCGTTCTCCAGGCCACGTGGTAAAGTAGAAAGCCACACTCTCCCCTGCCCTGAATTTAAGGACGCATAAACAAGCACTGCTTTTGTTGGGCTCTGGTTCATTAGTCCCTTCCTTTTCTTCTAAATCAGACAGAAACAGAATGTTCTATCCTGTTCAAATGTGGAACAGCAGAACACTTGGAGAATTTTCTCTCATGTGCTTATGACTAGAATTGCTCCCATTGTCATTCCTTTCTTTTTCTAAAGCTGTGGCAGTAAAACTGGCTTCAGACTGAAGTTTCAAGTGCTTTCTAGTCATTCCTATTTCTTAGGTCTTACTCCAATAAACTTTACTTCCCCATAATTCCTAATCTTATCTACTGGAAGAGAGTTGAAATGGCAACTCAGATCATTTTCCCAAATGGTGCACCTCCAGATGTTGTCTTTCTGTGAACGCAGTTACAGGTCATTTGCTTTTCTGAGTCTTTAAGAAAACTGCTTTGCAGTTAACATTTGGAGGGTCTTAAATCAGTTTTCCACTTAATTGGAATTGCCCTGTAAGCCAGGAATAAATCTTGAACACAAAATAAAGTCACCACGGTCACAGCGGCGTGGGCAGGGGAGGGGCACTTCCAGTGACAGTGATGCCTCGTTTGCCACAGCCGATGACTTCTTTGTTCAGACTCTCCGTTTTAAACCCCATCCCTCTTTGCCTTTGAGCTGGCTTCATAAGGCGGCCTTTGGCCACATTTTGCAGACTTTTCTGCTGGACCCTAAGAGTTGGACCTCGTGCTCCTCCCTCCGCCTCTCGCTCTCACTCAAGGCTCATCTTGGGGGCCCTCATCGTCCCCCTTTGTCCACACCGCCTTCTGGACACCTCCCTCCCACAGGACTCAGGCACCACAAACCTGCACCGCATGCAAGCCCGACGCTGGTAGAACCTGTCGTTGGCCACCAAGTCCAGTCAGTTCTACTTCCTAAACCCTCCTGATGGAGAAGCTGGACAATGAATAAACAACTCTTTAAAAATGAACATGATTATTTCAGATGTGAACAAAAAGTATGAAGAAAACAGAAGAGGGAAATGGAATCAAGACTATTTGACCTAAAACCTAATTGAAAAGAAGGCAAGTTAGGATCTGGAGGAAAAGAATTTTTCAAGCAGAGGAAAGTGCAAGGACCAAGCCCTGGGAGGAGGGCGAGTGTTGGTATGTTGGGGGAGTGGCCCGTAATAGCATCCCTCTTCCTTGCCCTGGTTCCGAACCAAAGGCGAAATAAGAAATAAGGAGAAGGGGCAAAGAGGTCACCTTTACTAAAAGCTGACAGCAGAGAATGTGGTTTGTGTCACTGAGTGAGTGGGCTTCCGACTCTTTTAACCCCATCCTCTGCCAGACGTACCCCCAGCCCTGCTGGGCGGAGGTAGAGCTCCTCCTTGCTCTGAGCAGAGCGCCCCCTGGCGATGCAGCTGAGAACGCGGCTCCGGAGAGGGCGTGGCGAGGGCAGGGCTGCGCATGCTCAGTGTGTCTTCCCAAACTCCCGCGAGAGACCGCAGGGACCGCCCTGCGGAACGGTCCCGCTCTGCCAGTCTGGCGCCCTCCGGGGGCCGGTGTGGTTAGCGCTCCGCGACTGGGGCCGGAGGGAGTGAGACGAGGCCGCAGACGTCGGCCAAGGCCAGGGGATGCGAGACAAGGTCATGTCTCCCAGGAGGCTGGCACAAGGCAGGTCCTCACT